GTACAAGGCCAGTTCATTAGCTATCTCAAAATTCAATAGCGGCCCTAGCAATCGCAAAAAGCCGTCAAGGGGTGGCGGGTGGCACCAACCCTCCAGCCTTTTCCCCTGCCGGCAAGGGCTAAGCCAACTTGTTTAAAAATCAAAATAATGTACGCCTGTAAACTTTGTGACGTGCGAAGTAGAGCAATTCTTGGTGCGTATTTTAACCCCCATCTGATATGACGCGCGGCTGATGAACAGGATGAACAGAGCTTCACATTCTCTTTTTTTACAAACTATATAGTCATAATCACCGCACTTGTGTCGGCCTCCAAAGTCACCAAAGCGCGATAATTAATTTACCTAAATACCATCTTGCAACAAGCTCACACTTCATATGCATAGGTACTACCGGCACGTCAACGACGTTGGAACGTGTAGTACGTGTCAGAGGGCGTTTACAACGAATGTCCGTGTCTTCAAATGGTTTATAAAAAGATTTTCACTGCTTGTGTACTTGAATACAAGTCGGCATGATAGGTCAGAATGTTTTTCGCCAACAATAAACCACGAAAGTGTTCGATAAGGCCGAGCTTTATTTAATTGTTATTGACTAAATTGCCATATACCCGCGCACCGACGGGGTCCTCGCCAGCTTATAACCGACGGGGGGGGGGGCAATATCTGCCCCCCCCCCGGGATCTCAAGAACAAAGCAAGATAGTGACAAGCGGTAAACGGTATCGGGTACGGACGGACAAGGTCTACAATTGTTACACAGGTCATTTTCAGGCTAGGTCAAAGATTACATCACATGGGTAAAAAGTCGGCGCTAGATATGAGGATAGTTTTTCTCGAATACCTTTAGAAGTAGCGAAGCTAGAAGCAAACTAACAGCACCATCGTGATCCTCTCGTCGATCCGCATCGAGACATCTATAAGTTGACCTCGAAAGGTCAAGGTCAAAGAGTGACCTTAGGTCACGTGACGTTAAGGTCTTAGTGTAGGTTATCATTCGATACGCCTTGACGAGCTGAACTCATGAGACCATCTGCGCGGCTGTATCTCGTTCCTGTAAGGAGTTATTAGCAAAAAAAAAAACATTGGTGACCTTTGATGACGTCACATGACCTTACAGCTGCCCAGAGCAAGAAAGGTCCAAAGGTAGTTAAGGTTGTTTTATACTCGTATGAAGTCATTCATGGTATATTAGGCCATTCCGACGCGTTTTAGTGAAGAAAAAAATCCGGCAGTTGATTTTCTCCCCATAAGCTTATAATTGGGAGGCCAAAAAATTGATCTGACCTTAGGTCATCAATATCAAAATTCCGAGATAAACAAATTATACCTACAAATAACCTTATTAGGTACATCCTTTAACCCTCGCCCGCACATGCCATTTTCCCATCCTAGAACGCACATGGGGGGGGGGGGTTGCCACCCCCCGCGCCATTTCGTTCCTGTTGGAGATAGAGCTTAGCAGTAAAGACCAAAAAGATTCTTTGGGAAGAGAAGAATCCAATGATATCCAGGTTTACCTTCTCAGGTCAGTCATTGACCTTCCAGGTCAGGTCAAACTAAAAAATGTTGCTGTTTTGGGTCACCGTTGGATATCAAGTGCGCTGCTTATCAAATACTGATGACGATGCTGTTTTCTGGTGCCAAGCCAGCTAGAACCTCTTTGTCACACTATCCGACCAGAATTTTGCTGCTGAGGTCATTTCAGGTCAAGTTAGGTCAAGGTCAATTATATGTGTGTGTATGTCTGTGTGTGTCTGTGTGTATACTGATGTGTGCACCGATTGTTTTTGGGTCCATATCACATGAAATATATGATCTGAGAAGCTTTTACCAAAAATGCAGTCAAAAAACTTCACAAAAAGTAAATTCAGCTTGCCTAAAACGCAATTATCTTAGATGACCTAGGTTGACCTTGACCCCTGTACATCGTCGAACAACATGTTCCATGATAGGTGGGAGGTAAGACTGGCAAAAAAGGCCGAAATCAGGGTGTCAAAAGCTCACAAGGCCCATGGCAAACGCAAGATGTTGAGAATTGGCCATTTGGGTCATGACATGACCTGAAAAACAAGGTCATATCTCCAAAACCAAAAATCACAGAAACTTGAAATTTTCAGTGGACATCAAGAAAGGATAGAGGAGCAGCTATACGAAAAATCAGCCTTCTAGCTCTAAAAATGTTGAGTGCAGAGCAGAAAGACTGCCTGGGGGGGGTGGCAACCCCCCCCCCCATGTGTGGGCGAGGGTTAACTTTCAAAACGACTCCGTCACTTACTGTGGCTCTGAAACGGCGACAAAGCTGCAAAAAAGTGATTTGAGGCTGGGGCATTCGAAGTGCCCTGGTGACCTGACCTTTAGAGGCAAATGATTCAAACATGCACACCATGTGTAAAATTGATGAAGGATTAGTCATCACATATTTTTTCGCTGCTACGCTCCGCGGTTTTTCCGCTTTTTCAAAAATAAATAAATAAGGGGATGGATATCCGCCCTCCTGCGCGCGATTAACTGTCGGAAACGTCAATGCATCAGCAATTTTTTTTTCAATATTCTGCTTTCAATATTTTGTCTGACCATATTCTACTTTCAACATTTCGTCTTCTCGATATTCTGCTTTCGATATTTGTCTTTCGATCTTTTGCCTTTCGATATTTTATATTTTCGATATTTTGTCTATCAATATTTTGTCTTTCAATATTTTATCTTTCAATATTTTGCAATTTCGATGTTATAATATTCGATATTCCGTGATTTCGATATTTTGCAATGAGATATCTTACCACTTTGAATTATACCTTTCGATATTTTGCAACTTCGATATTCTGTTTTCGATATTTTGTCACTTTGATGTTTTACCTTCGATATGTTGCGACTCTATATTTTGCAGTTTGATATTTTGTCCGGAACCCGTTCAAACACCCCCTCTGTCCCCAGCAGGGCGTGGAATTTAACCCTCGCATGTGTAGGGGGGGTCGGATGGACCCCCCCATGGTTTTTCGGGAATAACTCGCGTAAAAAGCGGCCGATCGCGACGAAACTTTCAGTACCCTCGCATTGATCAATTTTACACCTACCCTGAAAATTTCATGACTCTGACCCAAATGACCTTTGACCTGTGACCTCTTTTCCGAGACCATGTTTGGCCGGAATCGCGATTTCGCGTATGTCGGCTCGCACTAGCCGCGTGTTTGCAAGCTTTTCGTGGTTTCAAACGTTCAAACATGTGATTTGATGTTACTCCCGTGTGTGTCAAGGTCACATGAAGGTCAGGTCAGGTCATTGACCTTTGGTGACCTCGGGTGACCTCGGGTCACTTTTTCGAGTTTTACATGTTTCTAGGCTAGTTTTTGGAGCTGAATTCGAATTTAGCAACCATTTGAACATTTACGAAGTAGTTTTGGTGTCTTCGTAACATGTTACGAAGCTGTCAGAGGCGGTTGACACGTACTACGAATACCCGTCACGACGCCTACTGGTTGACCTGACCTGACCTGACCCGACCTGGTCTAAATGCTTCAAGACATCATCTGTGATCAAAACTAACACGATATTCGTGATCAGCACCCCGAAAAACCCCTTAGCAGCCACACTTTACGACTTTCTAACAGGTCCCGATTTTCCCGACTTTGGGTCATTGACCTGACCTGGAAGGTCAACCAATGACCTAGGACCTTAAAATTGGGTATCATCGGCTTCCTCTCGTCACGGGCAACACGCTCGTTTTTTTCCGCGAAGCTCTAGCTCGATCAGGGGCCAAACGGCAAGGGGGGGGTCCAACCGACCCCCCCCCCCCTACACATTAGAAGCTGGCAAACGCCGCACACATGCGAGGGTTAAATTGACGTTTTCACGGAAAATCATTTTTCTGCAAAAGTTCTTAGCTAAAAACTTACATGATACTTATTTTCCGAGCAACGTGTTCCTGTCTTCAAGACGCGTCGAATGAACTATAATAATTTGACTTAAAAAAAAATTAAAAGTTGACCTAGGCTCAAGGTCATAACATGACCGCAAAGGTTATTTTGCATATAGGTCTATCTGTATTGCTGAGATATCCGCATTCAATGCACCTATTTTCATTGACCTATATGATGTCTCTATCAAATGTTATTGTAAAAAAGCTGTTGGAGGCCTCCCTTGTCTTGAGATGACCTCAGGGGCATAAAGAAAAATCACAGGTGCTTTTTCCGATTCAATGTGTGATGTCTGCCTACAAACCGATAATTGAAAGTGTCTAGAATGCTTTCTTCTAAATAAAGCACAATTAAGTTTTCACCCATTACTCCTATTAACCGCTGAAAGTTTCAAAGCGATCGTTCAGTCGGTGTAGCTTTGGCGAGCATTATTCTGAGATGTCAGGCGTGACCTGGTGACCTGACCTTGAAAGACCTTGGTCTGAAATCTACAACATATCGACACCTTTTTTAACCCCACATCTGCTCTCCCGTGAATTTCCGGGAGGCACGAAAATCTCCTTTTAAAAGTGTCCAATCGTCCGATCCTGATCAAATATGTGTGTTCGTAGGCCTGTTCTGGTATTGCTTTATCTGCCAAGACAGAACAATTTGAGAAAAATCGAGTGATTGTACCTTTTTTGAAGGTCTCTAACCAACTTGTCTGAAATTCACCGGAGAACAAATGTGGGGTTTTAAAAAAAAAAGGTGTCGATATGAGGAAAATACAATATAAAAATGTGTGCAAAAAACGATGGCGCCAGCGCCGCCGTTTTTTTTTTAACATTTGCGGAAAGCCGCATGGGGATGTTCTAACACCCCCACCCCACTCACCTAATCAGCAGGGTGCCGTTTATGACCAGCATCCATAGTGATATCTTCATGCTTTTCAATGTTTTCTTATCTAAAATGCTAATTCAAAAAAGTTGTAGGTATCTCCGCTACGGCGCTTCTTTCACACTAACCTCCTAGCGCATGGTCCTCTGAAAGCTAATACCATTCATTTCGTTTCAAGCCGCCATCTTGTGGCCCAAACCAGAGTCAGAGATAATTATCGTTGATGATTTATTAGCGTAGAGCCAATACCAGGTCCTGGAAAGTAGCCAGTTATTCCCTAGCATATTATACGGCAAAACATTCGGATAGCGCATAACAACAACTCACATTTGCGCACGGTGAGTAAGCACCACACCTCATTCACGTCAGAATACCGAAGTACTTTGGCAACGAACATATAGATCACCGTGCCCTGCTGAAGGAGGAAGTGTCGATAACACCAGTTAGTGGTTACACATCAGTCATGGAAAATGGGGAAATAAATATTCACAAACAATACAGAATTATAAAAAAAAATGTATAAAAAGCAGCAGGTAGGATTGCAGGCATTCAGGCAGAATCAAGCAATCAGACTAACTGCATGGCATCCTTAACGGTTCTTCTCTTCATGAAAACTAGAAGCAATCAAATAAATATCAAAATGTAAAATGTCGATAACAACTACTCGCTAGTGATCATATAGCACCATCCCAAACTCTTGCAAGAATAAAATAAAACGCAAGTACATAACACGCGATATTCCAGCCAGTATGGTACAGCAAAAGTTCATCACTTCTACAACAAGTTTAAGTAATAAATACATATGTACACCTGACTACACAACACATCGGCCCTTCGGCCGCAGGCCCTGCAAACGTTTGCCGAGATGGCGTCCCACAACACCTCACAAGACTCACTCACAGAGATCAGGTAACAGAGATCACAGCTCAGCCAGCACAGTCAACAACACCAAACCCTGGACGACCAGGCAGTGGAAGAGCCCGCAGCCCGGCCCAGAAAGTCAGCAACACCATCCGCGGATGGCCAGGCAGTGATGCAAGCAGTTCCTGACGTTTCATTCTTCAGAGAACATTCAGCGATACGAGTTAGTTATCATCACAACGATACGTCGTTGCAGTTCTATAGAGCAAACGCTTCAGCTTATGGCACCACTGTCGATTTTTAGGCTAAGTTCCAGGTTGTGAGACGCTCAAATGTCTACTGAACGGTCCGCTCCCGGAAGACCAGCTTGAACGAGTCAACAGGCAGAGCCAGACTGCCGGGACGCATGTGTTCCGCCACCATCCGCGAGTTGGCAGCGTCCTCGGGGAAGAGCACGTCGAACTTTGACAGCACCGTGGCCACGGTGAGAAACGTGACGTTGGTCAGCATCTTGGAGCCCATGCAGCTGCGCTTCCCCGTGGAGAAGGGCAGGAAGTGCGGCGGCTTGACCACCTTACCTCCGCGCACGAACCGGGCCGGGTCAAAACGCTCCGGCTCCGACCACAGCTGGGGGCTCATGTTGAGCTCGTAGTTGTTGATGAAGACCATGGTGCCCTTGCGGACGTCGTAGCCGCCGACGTTGGAGTCGCAGGAGGCCACGTGCGGCACGATGGGGCTGCTGCACACGCGCAGCGCCTCGTACATGGTGCTCTCGGTGTACGGCAGGCTGGCGCGGTCATCCAGGCTCAGCTGGCGGTCACCGACCTGCGAATCCAGCTCCTCCTGGATCTTGGCCATGACCTCGGGGTTGCGAGCGATCTGCAAACAAGGGGCAGACATTCTTAATACGGGCAAACGAGATCTTCATGAGCGAAGCCGTGAACTAAATTATTGAGCTTAAAATGATCGTAGTTTTCAGAAGTGAAGAACGCCGATGTAATACCAGCGTAGCAACTCCTATTCAATGATTTCAAGGAAATGAGACAGAACAATGTCGGAGAATGTAATGTGCATGTCCAAGCGATCATTACCTGTGTGATGGTTTGCATGATGATGTTGCCCACCGCCGAGTGACCTCCGATGAAGTCCTCCAGCTCGTAAAGGGCGGTGACCTCGGAGATCTGCTCATGACCTCCCTCCTCAGTCTGTCAAAGAACGTCACACAACGGTAAGAAATCGAACCATTCCGGAAGTTTTCCGACTGAGCAAGACTTCATTGATTAAACAGTAACTTGGAAAGACTCTTTCAAGACTAGAAAAATGACTTCAGAAATGGAATGACATTTCCGATCTACAAGTCGCACAATGTCTGTTCGAGATCTAATTTCGCGTGCGCCATGCGTATTTTCAGAAACCTACCTTCATGCGTTTCAGGAGCATGTCCACGAAGTCCCTGGGGTTTTCGTAGTCGATGCTGTCCTTGTGGCCGTTGATGATCTCATCGTTGATAAACTGGCGGATATCCACAGAGAGCCTCTTGAGCGTGCTGATGGTGCCCAGGCGGAACACCTTCAGCCACCCGATGAAGTCCATGGCGTATCCCTGGTTAATGTCCCAGAAGATCTCGTCGAAGTTACGCACGAGCTTCTGGAATTTCGGCTCGTTGATGTCGAACTTCTTCGAGCAAAGATAATCGGAGAAAATGTTGCACGAGATGTTCTGGATGAGCGGCTTGAAGGCCACGGGTGTTCCGCGAGCATCCCTTAGCATTTGTTCCAGGGTGGTCATCTCGGTCTGGACAGAGTCGTTCAGCATCTGGAAGACGTCCGTGCCGGGTCGGACGTGCATGAAAAGGCGCGCCACGTTGCGCCTGGAAGCCTGCTTCTTAGACCAGTCGCACAGGGCCAGAGCTGCAACAGAAGATGCATGTTCGTGGTCACATATAAGTTATCAAACCTACTACCGGGCATATTACTTGATACGTGATATTGCTTCTCATTACACAGCGCGGTTCGCTGGGTGAGGACATTACTAGCATTTTATCGTTGTGCATCAGAACATTGAAACCTAACTAGCCTGATAGAGTCAGGAGTTGTAAGTCAGCCCAACTTTGGCCTCGTTGTCCTGAGGCAAATAACGGCAGGCTAGCCAACATGACACCGATGCAGCCTCATCCACTACCAAGCTATAAAACTCGCGCGCACTGAATCTCAAATCGCTGGCTGTGCCGAAGATCGATCGGCGTTATGATCCACCGTTACTTTAAAGCCCTCTGAGCTGGCATTGCGTCATATAGGTCGGCAAGATCGGTATCATTGTTACGACAGCAGCTTCCCAGTATCACTGGTTGCGCGGCGGGCGCAACGTCATCGCGAGCAGCCTGCCCATGGCGCAGGGCGGCTAGCAACAGCCGGTAGTCGGCCGCCTTCAAGGCTGGCGTCTGGTCACTCGCCCCTGGAGCTGGGGTGTCCCTGGTGGACCGCCCGTGCCGCCGCCGGCCGCTGGGCCAGCTCAATGGAAGGGTGGAGCGTAGTAGCGCTGCGTAAAAGTGACCTTCACCGGCGCTGGGGCTGGGGCTGCAGCGCCGGCCGGCCGGTCGGCCGAGGCTGCGGGCCGTCGAACGGTCCGTGGGGGAAGGAGAGGAGAGGAGAGGAGGGTGAGGTAGGCATGGCAGAGGAACGTAACGGGAACGGGTGGCTCCGTTCCGATGCAAATAGATGACCAGGGAGTGCGAGATAATTTAATACGGGACTTTGCTCTTGATGCATGCTCGATATGTTGGAAGAGAGGTACTTGCCTTTTTGCAAAGCATACCTATTGTTTGTTCTGAATTTAAGGTTTCTATCCTAAGAATTACCTAGCTATCCATAAGCCAAATACAGCTACTTAATTTCTACTTGGGAAGGACAACGGAACGAATCCTGCCAACTATCCGCTGGTGCGCGTGCTACTCACAGTTATCCCTGTCTCCTCCGAACAGGGCGTCGTAGCGCAGGAAGTTGGGCCTGCCGTCGAAGTGGTCGCCCTTGGTGATGAGCACCTCGCGGATGCTGGCCATGTCGTTGACGACGAGCGCCTCGGTGCCTCCCAGTCTCAGGCCGTAGACGGCGCCCAGCTTCTTGCTCATGTCGGTCATGCACTCGTACGGGTTGGGCTTCAGGCCCAGCTGGACCATGTTGCCCAGGATGGGCAGACTCCACGGTCTAGGTGGTGAGCGCCAGAGCCTCGTCGTCGCCGGCGGGGCAGCGGTCGGCGGCGGCGGCGGCGGCCGGGCGACCGTGCCGCCGCCGATGGCGACGCGGAGCACGCGGCCGAGCTCGTGGCGCCTCTTCTCAGGAAGCAGGAAGCCGACGGCGTGCAGGATGGCCACAACGGCGAACAGGATCAGGCTGACGGGGTCCATGGCTGCCGGAGAGTGGAGATACTGGCTAGACGGGCGCCGGACGGCTACTGGCGGCTGCCGAGGCACGCCGACATTTATGTAACTCTCGAACGGCATCCGGGAGCGGGCCAATGGCGAGGCGGCTCCGGCGGCGGCGGCGCGCGCGCGCGCGAGACGAGCACGCCCACACGGCGACGCGACACTTGAGACACAATAGCGGGACGCCAACTGATCCGAGATCACTCGGAGACTCGGAAACACTCTGAACTTGAAACGCAGAAGCACAACTTAACCCGCGCGGGGCTGGGGTCTCCAGCCGAACGCGCGGGGCTGGGGGGGGTAAATTTTACCCCCCCTGTTATCTCCCGAACTAATGGTCCGATTTGGAAAATTCAAACGCCAATCGAAAGCTCTCATCACGAACTACTAAAAACATGTACTTAATTTAAAGTTTGAGGTCAAGGTCAAGGTCAGGTCAAGGGTACAAATTGCAAGTTTCTACAGTATCGGCCTTGCACCGTAGTTACCGAAGAATGGAGTCATGGACTGAGACTGATCGCCCAAAACGTGTTCTTAGGCTACCAAGACAATATTCGTTGCATACAATATCATTCAAAGGTCAAGGTCAAGGTCAGGTCAGGTCAGGTCAGGTCACCAAAAAACAAAATATAGAAAAGGGCATGTGCGACACATGTTTTATGGGTCATTTTACTCATAAAATTCAATAGGCACACTCAATAAGTGATATGGACCACCTCTGGATGAATTTCAGGTCGAGGTCAGGTCAAGGTCAGGTCAAGTGAGGTCAAATTTTGAAGTTGGTTGTTAAGGCCTAAAAAGGTGTCTATCTGATGCAGTGTTTCACGGCGAATCGAATGGTGCTATTTTTGTTTCCGTACGAGGTCTAGAACTTCCAAAAAAGTCATTTTTCAAAAAAATTGTGTGTCGTGACGTCATAAAATTTTGAATAACTCCCACATTTTTGAACCGATTCTTCTAAAATTTGGTATGTAGGTGCACATAGACCACTTCTCTGACATATATTCCGGTTTTTTCGATAGACTCAAAATTTTGGATTTTATAATGATTTTCCCAAAAAAGTCAGTTTTTTGAAAAAATTTAGGCAAAAATCCAAAATTTTCAAAAAACCGAGATAGCCATTTGATAGACAAAGTAAAATTACGTATAACCTTTTTTGTTACATCTTGATTCCTTTAAAAATGAAGATGTTAGCGGCGTTTGAACTTTTGCCGTTTTTGAGGCGAAAATGGCGAACATGATGTCACTAAAACGTCGATTTCTCAAAAATTTTCCGACGGATTTCGCTCAAATTTTCAGGGAACGTGTCAAATTGATGTAAGAAAAGGTACTGAAAGTTTGGCGGCGCTGCGCGCCGCCGTTTTTGAGATATCGCAAAAATTCGCGAGGGGGGGTAAAATTTACCCCCCCCCCAGCCCCGCGCGGGTTAACATAGCTCGACCTTTAGAGAGCTCAAGTGCAGTTTCTGCCCTTGAATTTAACTATGCTGGTTATCTTTAGTGAATGTCATTATGTAATACTGGTTCCTGCCCGGATACTCGAGTACCGATGAATTTATTAGATATTAATTTATCATTTGAAAGTTTCCATTGAGGATTTAGCCATTACGTCAGAGCTTGCATCAAATATACTTGCAAAGACTACGTGCGTTTACGTTAAGTTCATAGAAACAGATGTGCTGCATTTTGGATCGCTATACGTGTATAACGGTCAGGAATTAGGTAACTGTCAGATCTCAAGGAAACGAAGCCGCCACATACTTACGAGTTCTATTATGCAAACATCGCCAGTGTCAAGTGTCATTTCCTTCCCACAGACAATACAAGTACAATTTAAACAAAAACAGACATTTCGGACTACAAAGTTCCTTCGTTAGTGGGAAAAATAGGTATAAATATAGCTTTTTTGTTGATGAAACATTGACAAGGAGTTATTTGTAATATTTCCACTAACGAAGTCACATACCTATGTTATCCGAAACGTCTAGTTTTATTTATGTTTTAACTGGGTAATGGGTTTTCATTCTCAGTGAGAAAACAAAATGTTTAAAGTTTCTAGTCAAGTCTCATGCATGGCTGATGATAAGATGGCTTGTTCATTGATAACAAATAAACGGAAGTGTGCATGTAGACCCATTGCTTCACACACATCACCAATGTTCAGATAAGGAACTCCTACGGGTTTTTGTCTTATAAGCCACTGATTCATGAAGTCGAAAAGCTCTGAGAGTGTGACTCGAGCCCCTTCCCTCAAAATCGCATACTCTACATTTGGCCCACCATCGACTTGACTAAGCTTCACCCGATAACTTTTTGGCTTAATCTTGTATTATCAGCCTGTTATGCTGGCTCTTGATACGGTCCTCCCCCCCCCCCCCCCCCTCCCCTAACGCTCGGCATTAGCACCAAATCTGAACAATCCACCGTTGCGCTTTCGACGTGTCCGTCCTGCCGATCGCCGGTTAGATTGTGTTGGCGGCTTCCTGACCTTCCCTAAGGCCAGGGATGCTGTCACCAGGCGAGATTTCCGCCACGGTCGCTACCCACCAACCAGTTATAGGTGTCCCAAACGGCCACCAGCCAAGGTCAAGTTCGGACTCTTCTAGGTGTGAGATCGAATCCGCCCCGGTATGCTCGACCAACATCCCGTCTAGACGTGAAGGGCTCCGCTGCGCCACGTCTGACCCAGTACAGGCGGATCACGTATTAGCTACGTCTCAATTGATCCCAGTGGCTGGCCCAGCTGCGTCATAGAGCGTCGGAGCACCGGCCCGGGTCAGCTGTATTCTGCGAGATGGGCCCGAGTTTCGTCAGAATCGGTCTGCCTCCGGTGGGTTCACTGCGTCGTCGCAGTCGCCTGGCCTGGTTGGGTAGATCCGCGACAGGATCTACAAAAGGAACCACCAACCCGACTAGGAGTCGCGACGGTGCGCAGAGGTTCCGCAAATGCTCAATTCAGAGGCGATTTATGTCGATAAGGGGCGATAGTAAGTATGTACCCCTGTCTGATCGTGGGGTTTCCTCAGTCTGGTGTAATAGACTTCTACGTCGGCTCCTGAAGAAATTTGGGTTAGGTATATTCTTGCATGACTACTTTCTAGCCCGTTAGTTTTTGGGTGAGATACCACGCCGAATGACGCACTTGGTGGTTAATGTGCAGGCAAACCAGTTATTGCCGTTCGATCAGCTGACCGTGCTATTAGTTAATCGGTAGTGCGACGTAAGAAAACCTACTTTCGCGACAAGTGATTCATTAAAGTTATTTGCGTCAGAAGGCTTAACTTTGCTCAGTTTGTTCTTATCTCGCTCCTCTCCCTTTCTATATCTCATCTGTCATCTATCTCTCTCTCTCTCTCTCTCTCTCTCTCTCTCTCTCTCTCTCTCTCTCTCTCTCTCTCTCTCTCTCTCTCTCTCTCTCTCTCTCTCTCTCTCTCTCTCTCTCTCTCTCTCTCTCTCTCTCTCTCTCTCTCTCTCTCTCTCTCTCTCTCTCTCTCTCTCTCTCTCTCTCTCTCTCTCTCTCTCTCTCTCTCTCTCTCTCTCTCTCTCTCTCTCTCTCTCTCTCTCTCTCTCTCTCTCTCTCTCTCTCTCTCTCTCTCTCTCTCTCTCTCTCTCTCTCTCTCTCTCTCTCTCTCTCTCTCTCTCTCTCTCTCTCTCTCTCTCTCTCTCTCTCTCTCTCTCTCTCTCTCTCTCTCTCTCTCTCTCTCTCTCTCTCTCTCTCTCTCTCTCTCTCTCTCTCTCTCTCTCTCTCTCTCTCTCTCTCTCTCTCTCTCTCTCTCTCTCTCTCTCTCTCTCTCTCTCTCTCTCTCTCTCTCTCTCTCTCTCTCTCTCTCTCTCTCTCTCTCTCTCTCTCTCTCTCTCTCTCTCTCTCTCTCTCTCTCTCTCTCTCTCTCTCTCTCTCTCTCTCTCTCTCTCTCTCTCTCTCTCTCTCTCTCTCTCTCTCTCTCTCTCTCTCTCTCCTCTCTCTCTCTCTCTCTCTCTCTCTCTCTCTCTCTCTCTCTCTCTCTCTCTCTCTCTCTCTCTCTCTCTCTCTCTCTCTCTCTCTCTCTCTCTCTCTCTCTCTCTCTCTCTCTCTCTCTCTCTCTCTCTCTCTCTCTCTCTCTCTCTCTCTCTCTCTCTCTCTCTCTCTCTCTCTCTCTCTCTCTCTCTCTCTCTCTCTCTCTCTCTCTCTCTCTCTCTCTCTCTCTGTGCCAGGAATAAATAGGGAGACACACAATGGTGCTAGCTGATAAATCAGGTGTAATCAAAAACTGCTCACAATACTGAGGTATTTGTAGTTTGCATCCGTTCTAAGTGAGATATATGCACCTGTTTGTTTTTTTCTTTTACCTTGACAGTCATTGCAATGCGAACATGATACACATGCAGCTCAGTGAACAATGAATATACACATAGACCGTACTTGCAATTACAGTCAGCACTCAGTACCAATTTCCAGCCATGGGCCATGGTCGATATTAGCCGTTTTCACGACGGCCATCTGGTACACATTTGGTGCACATCTGGTGCAGATTAACTAGGTGCAGATTTGGTCAAATTAGGTTCAGTGTGTCTCTTAGTAGCTATCAGCTAGGGTTGCACTAATTGCCTATATGCCTGCTTTGTCATATTATCAGAGAGTATCATCGATCAAAACACTGAAATGAATTCATAAAATAAAGATATTTGCTGTCTAAGAGATTAGGTGCATATTTGGTCAAATTAGGTGCACTCGCCGGATAGCCCGTCGTGAAAACGTCTTCTGTCCAATTGCGCATTCCTTCAGCACGCATCGCACTGCACGCACATGCATATTGCATATGCAATGAACTTGCAGATAATGTCCGTAAATCATTGCAGGTCTAATAATAGCCGGTACTGTGCACTCGATGATAATCTAAAAATGGCCAGTCCTGCAATCTGGATCACGGGGAACTACCGCCGGGAAAGGGTAGGGGATCCCTTTGTGTCGTATTTACAGCTACTAGGGATTATTTGACTTATTATACGAGAATTACCTCTCCCTCGTAAACGATTAACTTAGGTGCAGGTA